CGTCAGAAGAACCACCATGTAAAAGTAGGTTAAGTATAAAACAAAATAATATAAGCACCTACCCACAAAAATGACAATTTATGGAAGACAGCAGAAACAGCTGAGAGTGTTTCCCAGTAAATACCAGGCCCCGTGCTAGAGACCTGGAATAAAGAGATAACACGCATTCCCTTCCCGGGAAGTCTGAAAAGGGTCTATACTGCATGAACTGCAAACGCCCCCTCACATTCACAGGCCATGTGTGTGTGTGTGTGTGTGTTCCTACATCATTAGGTAGAGACCTCTTAGACACCTTACTTCATTAAACGTTGACCCCCAAAACTTTGGGGGGGCATTCCAGAGTTATTTTTAAAAATTTATCACTCCTTTACAGGAAAGGGAGTAACACTTAACACCTTAGGGTTGTGTGCAGAAATAGATTAAACCAAAGGACAATAATCCAGTGTGATATTTTATTTAAATTTACCTCCACAGCCTGCCAAATCAGAAAATTCATTTATGCATGTGTGTGGGATGTGGAAGGAGGGAGAGAGGGGAAAACAGAAGTGAGCTGGTGAAAAAGATACAGCATAGAGTCACAAAAACACCAGATTTCTGGTTGTCGGCCTCAACAGGGTGTTCAAAAGGCAACGCTGTTTGCAGAGATGTGTGAAGTGTTAAAAGGACCAGCTGGATCATCCAGGTTAGAAAGATCTTTCAGATAAAACCGAATGTAGCAGGCAAAAAAGAAGCAAACTCGCAAGATTCATGGAAAATAAAGTCTGCAAATTAAATCTTTTTCAGAGGCAAGTCCACTCAGTATGTGGAAACAAAGGGTTGTGCCTGTTCTGTTTGATGTATTCTCAGCATCTAAAGCAAGGGAGGCAGGTGAGTCTTGCAAAGGTAGAATAGAAGGACCTCAGAGGCAGGCACCATGGCTGGCTGGGCCACAAGGCCTGGCGGCATGACTCACGCTCGTTAGGTGCTCAAAGAATTCTTGGTTTACTTGACTTTACCACGATAATTAAAACAAGATGACTCTGAGGCTGGTGGGTAGTTTTTCCCCTAGAACGAGGATATGGGTCATTGTACTGTCCTCGGCCCCTATAAAAACACTGTTTTCAGTTCTAGACACATTGTAAGAGGGACAATGTCCAAATAAGAACAAACAGAAACACAAAGGCTTTGGAAATGTTGAGTGTGAAGGAGAACTGCAGACGTACAACCTGGAAAAATTGGTGGAATGAAATAGTTATCCTCAAAATATTTTAAGGTTCATTATACAGTACAATTCATTAAATCTTTACTGGGCAACGTCCTTGTGAACAATCCCTGGAGGGATGGCAAAGACTAGCAAAAACAGTCCCTGTCCTCAGGGAGTCTGCAACCTAATTTGGGCAGGGGGAGGATGCATATGAACAAGTCGCTGACACCAGGCAGGCCTTAGGAAGCACCACGTGCTGTGGGGACTTCAAGGAGGAAAAGACCCCATTTCACTAGAGGACATTTCTGAGCGATGCACAAAGTTTTGAGAGGCAGAGATTTTTTGAGGAGAGAGTAAGGAACAAGGACATTATCAGGAACAGGAGGAACAAAGGGTTGGCAGTGGAAAATTAAATGTATGAGGTTGGAGGAAAAGTCTAGTTTTGCCTGGAAAATATGATATGATGAGGAAAGTAATGGAAGATTGGTATGTCCAATACATATTTCCAAGGCATATCTGTATTTAAAGAGAATTTCTATTCCATGACTACACTTTTCTCTTTTTAGCGTTAGGAAAATGAAGCACAAAAATTCTTCCTCACAATCCCTTGGTTCCAAGTAATACTTTTTAGTCCTGCACCTTGTAAACACTCAATAACGGATTGCTGAACTGGATGGAAAAATGAATTTATATTTTTAAAAATAGTGTATAGCATGAATACATCTCAGATTATTAGCATTTTTCCTCCTAAAATCAGTTATGTATTTCTCCCCTTTCTATCCGTTTGTAAACACAGTCCACTCCCATTCAATGTATGCTTACAATGTGTGCCTCATTTTAAACTCCATATTAGCTTCCTCTAGAATGCACTGCATAGTTCATGGCTTCTCCCCACCACACCCAATCACATCCACACCCAATCACATCCACACCCAACACATCCACACCCAACACATCCACACCCAACACATCCACACCCATGCAAAAGACCACAGACATTTTAACAGTGTCCCAGACAGAATAAACAAGGGCAGGGATTTTTATGTGTTTTGATCACTGTTATATTCCCAGTGCCTAGAATGGTGCCTGGCACATAGTTTGTGATCAACAAATATTTTGCTGTTGAATAAAGTAAACAGATTTTTAACTTAAGCCAAAATAAAATTATGTATTTTGTTGTTTGCTTGTTTATTTGCTTCTTAAGATTATCCATGATACTAACGGAGTGGCACAATCAAGACTTTTCACTAAATGAAATGTGAAGTGTTGCTTAAAGAGGATAAACCCTTTCTTTCTTTGATGGGCAGTAGAGTTGTTAACATCTGAGCAATCACTCCCCAGCACTCACCTTTAAATTTTTAACTGTATTTAAATAAAACAACAATAATAATAATACAGGTTTCTCTGCTGTGATTTTTAGACTCAACTAGAAATTTCTGGTCATGGATAATTTCACACTTTCTTAACTACCACAAGGAAAGTAGTCCTCCTGATGTTTCATTGAACCCCACTATTTACAATTATTTCTCACGTTTACTGAAAAAACTACTAGCACCATATGGACTAACTCAGAGACATCCTTCTGAGATGTTGCATTTTACTAGTACTACGCTAAATGCTACTATCCTTACAATAACCCCCAGACATTTTCCCTTCTATCAAGTGCTGTGCTTCATATTATAAATCTTTCATTAAAAAATCAAGCTTGCCATCTCTGTCACATTATTTTTTATCTCTGCCTTCCCTCTCTCTCCACTCCTTTATGTCTGCAAACTTCCTAGTACAGGGACCCTCCAAACAGGACCGGGTGCTGGGAGCAGTTGGGGAAGGGGCGCCTGTAGGGTCCAATGCAGAGTGGGTATCAGCAGCAGCACACATCGGCGAGGTGAGCCTTCCAGCTCCCACCGAGCACTCTGACGGGCTAATTTAGGATCTGGCCTCCACCTTCGGCCAGTCACAATTATGCTGTGCTGTTTCCTTCCGAGCTGTCTTGATAGAGCTGCCAAAGCTGTGCCCTACTTTCACAAGCCTTGGGCTTCTGGCTCCCCCAAAGTCACATGCCCATCCACATGGTGGGCTTTCTACCTGTTTTCTCAAAACTAGAAATCACACTGAGCCAGCCAGACACCTTTTTAGCCTTTTTAGTCACTCTCTTCAGGGTTTTAATCACCATGTATAGGCATTTTGAAAGCCATTCTCCCAAAGTTTTCCCCATCGCATCTCCACTGGTGTTCCATCACCGTGCTTCCCACCCCCGAGTATATGGTAAAGCAGAGACTAGATGACTTGGGGCAAGGTGTCTTGTTTTAAGATGTTACTTTCTAGCTGTCGGTTCCATAACACCAGCTAGAAGCCTCTTTAATCTGAAGATCATATCCTATGGGCATCACAACGATTGAAAACCCGTGGTTATTGACCGCTCAGGTCAGGCTAGGAGATGTATTGATCTTTCCTCCCTCTGCATCTCCAGTGTTTCTTGTCCATATCACTCACTTGGCAATTAACCACGTTTTGCTTTGAGATCTGTGGTTCCACTTTTGCCATTTTCTTTAGCTTTTTGTTCACAACTGGCCTGTCCACTTGACACACAAAGGTTATGATGATTAAGTGTCTCTGCATTTTCCACAGACTATACAAACTGGGTCTCAAAAATATTCATGGACTGACCTGTGGGAATTAAGGCCTAGAAGGGTGGTGTAGACTCATTTCTCCCTGTTCCTGCTAAGACAACATTGAAACCTGGAAATAACACAAAGGGCAGCCGAAGGAGAAGTCTGAAAGGTGGCAAGAGTAAGGTGAAGTGGCTAGGGACCCTAGATCCAGAGTCTACAGAGTGACAGGGCATCTTAGGACTGCCCCACCAATAGAAGAAGGTGTCCCAGACCTGGAGTTTCCCAAGCCAAAACCTGCAGGAACAGAAGGCAGCCCAGGTGGGCTCATTCCTTCAGCAAATTAAGTAAGAATCTTGCCAACACCACCAGGTGAGGCAGAACTGAGAAGGGCAAGGATCAGATGCCCCACTGACAAAACACGGCCAGGAGAAGTGTTGTCCTATCCTGACAGGCCTGAGATTGCCCTCCCTCATTCAACACACTATGCAAGGGGGGGTCCCACCATAGCAAACACCTGACCAGGGAAACATTCTTCATCCATGTCCTCCCCAGAGGCCAGATGCTCCCTGCCCCGACCTAAAAGCATCAGGGGAATCAGCCTGCAGAAACTCCTTCCTTCTCCTCAAGCAGCACCAAGACACAAGATAAACCAAGCAGATCAAAACAGCACTATAAAGGCTCCAAACATTAAATATCATTGTAACCACAGCCTACAAAAGTAACCTGAGTGCTAAACCTAAAGAGATTCTTAATACAACAGCCGGAATGTCCAAGATAAAATTTAAATATCACCCATAATACCAAGAATCAGGAAAATCACAAGTTGAATGAGAAAAGACAGTCAACTGATGCCAACACTGAGATGATCAGATGTTAGAATTATCTGACAAGGACTTTAAAGTAGTTATCATGAAAATGCTTCAACAATCTTATAAATAATCAATAAACTCTCTTGAAACAAATGAAAAACAGAATCTCAGCAAAAAATTTAGAAGTTATAACAATCAACAAAGTAGAAATTGTATAATAAAAAACACTATAATAGATATAAACTCACTGAATACACTCAATAGTAAAGTGGGGATGACAGAGGATAGAATCAATGAACCTGAAGATACAGCAATAGAATTTACTCAGTCTGAACAATAGAGAGAAAACAGACCAAAAAAAAAAAAAAAATGAACAGAGCCTTCAGAGACCTCTAGGACAGTAACAAAAGATCTAATATTTTTTATCATCACAGTACCAGAAGGGTAGAGGAGAGTATGGATGAAATAATATTAAAAAAAAAATAATGGCTGGGGCCAGCCCACTGGAATAGCGGTTAAGTTCACGCACTTCGCTTCGGCGGCCCAGAGTTCGCCAGTTTGGATCCTGGGCATGGACCTAGGTACTGCTCATCAAGCCATGCTGAGGCAGCATCCCACATGGAGCAACGAGAAGGATGCACAACTATAACATACAACTATCTGGTGCTTTGGGGAGAAAAAAGGAGGAAGATTGGCCACATGTTAGCTCAGGCCAATCTTCCTCAAAAAAAAATTTTTTTTTAAGTAATGGCTGAAAATTTCTTAAATTTGGTAAAAGACATATAACTCATACATTCAAGAAACTGAGTGAATTCTAAATAGGATAAAATCAAAGAAATCCATACCAAGACACATCAGAATTAAATTTCTGAAAACTAAAGACAAAGTCTTGAAAGTAGCCAGAGGGAAGAGGTGCCTTATTTATAAGGGAATAACAATTCATATGAAAATAGATTTCTCATCTGAAACCATGGTGGTCAAGAGGAAATGGCAGAACATTTATCAAATACCGAAAGAAAAAGAACTATCAACTGTGAATTCCATAGCTGGTAACAATATTCTTCAGAAATGAAAGGGGAAATAAAAACATTCTCAGATGAAGAAAAACTAATAAGACAATTTGTGCTAGCAAACCTACCCTTAATGAATGGCTAAAGGAAGTTCTCTAAATAGAGAAGGAAACAACCAAAGAAAGTTTGGAACTTCAGAAAAAAAGAATATCAGAATGGGTCAAATTGATGGTTGAAGCAAAAATTATTATACTACTCGATGTGGTGCATGATGTATATAAAGGAAACACTTAAAACAATTATCTTTAAAGAGTGGGAAGGGTAAAGAAATCCAAATGGCAGCAAGGTTTCTACATTTCAATCAAAATGGTATAACAGTCTACAGTCTGATACCAGTAGACTATAAGTTTCATATGTGTATTGCAATACCTAGAGCTACCACTAAGAAAACTATACAAAGAGATATACTAAAAAAACCTATAAATAAATCAACATATAATCATTAAAAAATTCTTCATATAACCCACAGAAAAGTAAGATAAGAGAAACAGAGAAACAAGAAACAGTAAAAACAAATATTAAAATGGAAGACTTAAGCCCAAACATGTCAATAATTACCTTAAATGTAAATGGTCCAAATAAATCAATTAGAAGACAGAGACTGTCAGAATGGATAAAATAACACAAGTTAACAATATGCTGTCTACAAGAAACTTACTTCATATACAACATCACAGGTAGACTGAAATAAAAGTATGCAAAAAGATATATCATGCAAACATTGATTTTAAAAAAGGTCAAAAACGGCTATATTAATATCAGATAAAGCCAACTTAAGACAAAGGAAAAATACCAGAGACAAATAGGAATATTACATAGTTATAAAACAATCAATCCACTGGGAAAGCATAACAATCCTAGACGTATACATCAAAATGTTTCAAAATGCATGAAACAAAAACTGACAGAGCTAAAAGGAGAAACAGATGAATACACAATTATAGCTGGGGATTAAACACCCCACTTTCATCAATAGTTAGAACTACTTGACAGAAAATCAAGAGGGATATAGAAGAACTGAACAACACATTCAACCAATATGATCTAATTGGCATATATAGAAAACTCCACTCAATGAGAGCAAAATACACATTTTTTTCAAGTGCTCATGGAACGCTCATCAAGAAAGAGCATTTCCTGTGCAAAACAGGAAAGAAAACAAACTTCAACAAATTTAAAAGAATTTAAATCATACGTGGACTACAATGGGATCATAGTAGAAATTAATAACAGAAAGACAAAAGGACAATCTCCAAACCCTTGGAAATAACACATTTCTAAACACTCAAAGAAGAAATCTCAAAGGAAATAAAAAAGTCCATAGACCTGAATGAATACGAAAATACAACATATCAAAATATGTGGCACACAGCTAAAGCAGTGCTGAAAGGGAAATTTATAGTATTAAATGCTTACATTAGAAAAGAGGAAAGATCTCAAGTACTCGATACAAAAATTCTCAACAAAATATTAACAAATCAAATATAGCAATGTATAGAAAGTACCATGATTATTTCTAGGATGCAAGGGCAACAGGAAGGATTTTTGTGGTGACGGCATTCTTCTGTATCTTGACTATGCCAACGTCAATACCCTGGCTGTGATATTATACCATAGCATTGCAAGATGTTATCATTGTCGGGGAACGGGTAAAGGGTACATGGGATCTTTCTGTACTATTTCTTACAACTGCATGTGAATCTACAGTGATCTCAAAATAAAAAGTGTAATTAAACATCTGTGGGAACTGAATGTAATTCAACTCAATCATTAATCTTTAAGAGATCTTATGTTATAGAAGACTAAGTGTTATGGTTGTGGGTTCTTGGGGGTTAGACACTCCCAAAACTAGGGTTTGAGATTGTTCTCTGAGATTTCAACTTTATGAATGACATAAAATGAATGAAAAATGAAATATAAAAATAAATTTTCAAAAATTACTATGAATGCTAAACCTACAAGACTAGGCTATAATGCGATTGACACTACCTATCTAAAGAAAGGCCATGTGGCTCAGAAGGGCTGTTGAAGCAACCATGCCAGCACAGAAGAAAGAAAGAGGAGAGCACAGCATCCATCCCAGCCCTTTCCAGGGAAAAAGAAGCCTTGGCCAAATCTATTACTGATACTCTGCTAGTAAGGCACTCACGCCATTGAGTTGGAAGCGCAGACTTGTACTTATTGGACTTCAAATATTCCAGTCCTGCTGTCCCTCCTGGGATGCATGGTAGATAAATCAAAATATTTAGAAATGCACAGTAAACCCGCACTTGATGATAACTAGCTGAAAGCTATTGTTGCTTACATGTCTACCTTTTGCTTTTTATCCTCTAAGCCAGCCAGACCTCAGTGCTATATATTCTTTCCTAAATTTGTAGTCTTTTCCCACTTAAATGAATACATTGACATTCTAGTTTCACACTCAGTCTTGTTAGTTTAGTTTATGTGAGTCCAGTCTTAAGAGTTTGGTAGCAAAATCAGCTTTCTGAGCCCAAGACCCAGCTTACGGGCTGTGGCAAATTCACCACTGAAATGGCACCAATCACAAGCAGCCTCTTAGAAGCCAGGCTGACTCTCACGGCAATGGTCATTCCCTCTGTTTGTCTTGGGGGTCCAGCGGGATCTTTTCGAACCTACTAGTCATTCTTCCGCCAACAATACCAAATTAGGTACGGTGCTTTGTTCTCTGTTACCATAATTGCTACATGACAAATAGAAATATACATGAGATTTTCATTACTCTTTTGACTAATAAATAAAATAATTTTATGTTTTTGTTTACTTTAAAGCACTATGAAAATTCAAGATTTTTAAATTATCATTACAATAGAGGGATTTATTCCATTACCAGACTTGATTAAGACTTTTATTAATTAACTCTGCTGGAAGACTAGAGAAAGAACTTTCCAAACCACTTCATCTTTCTCTGGTAGGATTCCCACCTAGTGTCTTAATGCCCTGTGCTCAGGCGACCTGTCAGGAAAAAGCAACTAACTTAGATGAGTTTAATGGGTTTGTTTTTAAAGACAAAGTAAAACTTACATGGCTATGACAGCCACAGAATAAAATTTATACTGATGAAATATTTCCTGAAGGATCATCTGTGGTTAACATTAAAAAAAAAATGACCCTGGGGCCGGCCCAGTGGTGCAAGCGGTTAAGTGCACGCGCTCTGCTGTAGCGGCCCGGGGTTTGGCGGTTCGGATCCTGGGCGTGCACCGACGCACCACTTGGCAAGCCATGCTGTGGCGGCATCCCATATAAAGTGGAGGAAGATGGGCATGGATGTTAGCCCAGGGCCAGTCTTCCTCAGCAAAAAAAGAAGAGGATTGGCAGATGTTAGTACAGGGCTGATCTCCTCACAAAAAAAAAAAAAATGACCCTGGGGAAACCAGGCCCAGAAATGATGGCCTCAAAAGAAAATGAATGGCAAAGGATATAATCAGTAAAATTCAATAGAGATTTTTTAAAGTTATTGATAAATCAAATCTTTATCACGATATTTATGAGGAAAATAATTGATCCTGATTTAAATAATTAAATTAAGATAAATAAGAAAATGGGAAAATCGGAAACAGATTAACAGCACTCCATGGAAAATTTATTATGGGAAGGAATTAAATTGGCTTAATGATGTTCCCTCAGGAACCTCATGAAAATTAATTCATGCTGAGCCAATTCTGATTAAAATGTTATGTTCATAAATTGGGAGTCAAAACATCCTACACTCCTGATGACATCATTCTGTGGCTTGAACTCTCTGCTGTCTTAGATACTGCTATCTTGCCTTCTCCAGATTCTCACTCCCCACTGCTTTCTTGTTCCCAGTCTTTTACTTTTGTTGTTTTTTTTTTTTTTTTCCACATCTCACCCCTTATACATAGGTATTCCCCAAGGTTCCATTCTATGCCCACTTCTATGAAATTCTATCTCCCTCTCTCCTTCCTTCTCCCATTTTCCCTCTCCTCCTCCCTTCCTCCTCCACTTTAATGCTGATGACTTCAGGCTCCATACTTTGCCCTGCCCTTTCTCCTGAGTGCCAGCTTTAAGTTTCCGATCCCTGCTAGACTCTCCACATGAATGTTCCACTGAAGCATTTAATTCAAACCATTCAAAACTGGACCTAGTATCTTTCTGACCATCTACTAGACACATTGGTGTGCTGGAGCCGGCTCAACCCAGCCCATGCACTGATTGTGTCTCTTCTCAACCACACCTTCAGTGACACCATCCTGGTAGACTGCAATCAGTTTTGGCAGGAGCATCTACACCTGGAAATCAGCAAATAGGATCTCTCTGTTATTCCTCAGCATTCCACTCAATGATGCTGTTTTGGTTCAAGCCATCACCAGCGTGTGCCTAGACTATTGCAATCGTTTCCTGACTAGTCCTGTTGACTTCTTGATTACACAATCTATCCCTCACATAGCCATAGGATTCTACTCCTTAAAATACAGCTTGGTACATTTAATTCTGCTTCAAAATCTCACCATTTTCTAAGGACTGATGTCCAAAACACAGGGATCATTCCGTGTTCCCTGAACACAACAGTGTGTGCCCACACATTTCCCTCTGTGATTCTCCTTTGTGTTCCCTTAACCTCCACTATCCTTATCCTCACCCTCCTCTCAAGGCCCACTTAGCAGAGAAGCGCCTTTCCTGAACCCCCCAATAAGATTAAAGATTCCTTCCTTTATGCCCACACAACATTTCTTTGCATCACCATTTGTTCTTTTAGCCCCACGCTTCAGTGTCTCACGTGTTCCAAACTTGGCAAGCAATCGACTTCATTTCCATCAGGTTTTAAAAATCTCCTTTTGCCCTTAACTGATGGAGATTCTATTTTCCTTTCAACCATGTATTTCCTTCATTTTGCTTCCCCAACGCAATTTAATTATCCCCAAACCATAAGCATTTACAGAGTTAAGAATGCCTACTCTGTCTGTCACAATCACGCAAGATGAAAGGATATTTAACCCCAGGCTGGATGTTCCAAGTGCCTGCAATTAAAGCAAATCTTTTTTTTTCCCTTTGGTTGACTCTATGATTAAAAAAGAAAATGATTTCATTACAGATAATTTAGTTGACATTTCTGCTTTGGTACAACTTGGAGTTGAGACGGTTTCCACTGCCCTGGAATAATTTCGCATGCAGTAACATCAAGAAACATGGAGCAGCAGTACCCTCAACAAAGATGAGTAATGTGTAAAACACGAAGTGAGCAGCAAGGAGATAAGTGGCCTTGTCATAAAATACCTATGGGAAGCCATGATAGCTTCAGACTAGATGGAGAGTTTGTACAATTATCCCACTGCCCTCCCTTTCTCAACGTTACTTCCCTCTACCTCTCTGCTTCCCACTCCTAAGGTAGCTGAAGCAATAGCCTCTTAATTACATGCCAAAATTTGGCAATGTGCCATTGCAAAAGAAGAGGTTCAAAGACTCAATGGTCATAAGTGAGATGAGATGAAAATGAAGCAAAAGGGAGGTGACAGTAGAAAGAGCACAGGCTCTAGAGTTAGACAGAGTAAACTGCTTTCCACCCTAACCCGTTGCTGTCTTCCTAAGAGCTAAAGAAAGAATGGAGTGTGGGAGAAGTTTTCTGATTTCTGTTCTCTGCGCTCGGGTACAAAGGTGAGGTGATGGCTAAGATGCACTCCTCAGGTATGCATGCAGCATCTCTTGTTCAAAACTCCCCACGGATGTCAGGCCACAGGGTCACTCCATTCCCTTTAACACCTCCAGAGATGATGCTGACATTTATTTTCTCTTTTGATGACTAGTGACCTCAGTCTACCTTGAACAAAATGTACTAATTGGCAGAAAGATCCATATTTGGACAACTCCCTCTGCATACAGGGGCAGCTTAAACTCCCTTGTCTATGAAGACAGATCATGTTTATTAACATGTTTTATTAACATGTTTTATAACCTGAAAATCTGTACCATTTCTACCAGATCATCTAGATCCACACTTAAAAATTAATAAATACCTACCAAACCAAATAACTTTAGTATTTCTAATCCTGAATATCTATTTATCTTCTATAATTAGGACCTTTGAAATTTAACACAGAATTATCACAATAGTACCATACATTTATATACATTTTCCTCCCAAGAAACACAAAACATTTATAGGTATCATCTACCTCAGTCTCAGTTTTTGTACTGCTCTTTGGACTGACAAAAAACATAATATCACATAATAGCATACAAATGGTACATCTCTGTGAGAGGGAGAAATTTTCTGATAGGGGAGAAATTTTCTGATAGGGATGAAAAGGAAAAAAACGGCAAAAGACACAGACACGAAAAGATGCGCTCCTTAGTTTTTCTTTGAGGCATTTACTGTATAGTTGACAATAAACTAGTCATCTTCTTACAGACCTGATGGAAGAAGTTTCTCCATCTTCTCTAGATAAACCCTCCACTGTGACCTAGAGACCACCCCTTCTCTTTCCTGTCCATCATCTTGACTTTCTCCCCAGCCAACACTTCTTTCCCACCCCCTTTCAAACCACCACAGAATTTCCACAGCTTGAAATACCCACTGATTGATTCTGTTGCTTTTCTAGAAAACATCTCCCTCCCTCCCTCCTCCTTCTCTCTCTGTCTCTCCCTCTCTCATTCTTCATTAGTAAACTTGGTTTAGAATGAAAATCTCTATCTCATCATCACCCACCAACTCACTTTGAAATCTCTCACCAGTTGGCTTAGGTTCTTACCAAACTATTGTTACTACTCTCATAAAAGTCAACAATGACCTTCTTTTTGCCACAGAAATGAGCCTTCTTCATAACCTCTCAAGGCATTTGACACTGTTGACCCTTGCCCCTCTCCTTCCAGACATGCACCTGTTTCTACACATCCTTCTTCTCTTGCTCCTACAACTATTCCCTGTGGGGGTCTTCCATTGCCCCCCCATTGATGCAGGGCCTCCAAGGCAGAGTTCTTAGTCTCCTATTCTTCTTTCTCTAAATCTCCCTCCCAAAGAGACTCAATTATTGTTTCATTGATTTAATTATCATATCAAGGACTTCTGTCTCAAGCACCTACTTTATATCTCCAATACCCTATATTTCCTCAGCACTCCCCTTGGATTTTCTACCATCAACTCAAATTCAGCATATTCAGATGAGAACTTATCACATTCTAGACCAGATCCCACTGAACTTAGGCTCCACGCCAGCTTCTCCACTTTTAATAGCCACGTGCTTTGCATTTTCTAAGCTTTCTTAGCATCTATATCGATAATAAGAGAATCAAAATATCATTCCTGCCAGGTCCAGAGAGTGGTTGTAATGAACAAATGGTTTTTACATCTACAGAATGCTATAAATATCTAAAGTATTGTCATATCAACTCTCCTATCACCCCCATTACTCTAAACAGCTCTTTCTATTATCAAGTCACAGCATCAAAGTCTCCTCATTTGTTCTCCCTTCACCTCAGCCAGATGGTGTATCCCCAGGTGCTATAACTTTTATATGAGATGTCTCATAGGTTCCTTCTTTCTGTTCTTGTCCATTCTTCTCCACTCTTTCAGCCCAGGCCTTCATCTACTAGTGCTTGCTTCCTGCAACAGTTTCCTTAACTCAGACATTTCTCATCTCTCCCTCCTCAATCCATTCTCCTCTCCCTAGGATAATCTTCCTAAGATTTAACTTCCACAACATCTCTTCCCACTTCCTAAACTGATTATGATTCCCACTATAACCAGGAAAATATCCAAACTCTTCTGGTTGACTTTCAATCCCTCCACAATCTAACCTTTACTCTCCAGTCAACATTATCCCCAACTAATCCAAAACCACAACCCACTACTCCTAAATGTAAACGTCATGTCTCCCCTCAAGGCTGAAAGCTCCTTGAAAAAATCTATATATTAAAAAAACTCTTAAATTTACTTTGTGTAATCCACACTGCGTAGTCCACTGTTGACTGAGCATGTAGTGTTTGATCCATCTTGTACTGAAAACTCTAAGCAGGGTAATATGATCATAAAATATAATTTGAGGGCCATTTCGGTTTAAATAATAACTCATCATCTAGCCCTACATTGGAGAGTCAGGCCTAGAGCCAAACCAAAAAATGAGCAACAAAAGTCAATGTATTAGTTAGAGGTTTCAGCTCAGTATGATTGATCTGGAAACATATCTTGAGGCCCAGTTAACGAAACTTCACAACAGAAGAAAAAAAAAAACAATTTGGATTGATTTCCACTGTTTACATCATGAGCAGGAAACCAAAAGAATTTGACACGTCTGTGCATTTTAAAGACAGAAGAAGCCTAAATCTATTAACAGGTGAAACAACTTGAATTACATCCACATCAAGCCAGTATCCTTCCCAGTGGCACAGAAATCTCCCAGCTTAGGGCCAGCTGATGATCTGCCAGAGGCTAGTGGTTCTAAGAAATCCACTGGGCACTGAGAGCATGGGACTATATTATTGGGTGTCACCCAGAATATATCCCAAACCCTGGAGCTGGAGTCAACGAGTAGTGTAGAAACCACAAGGTGTGTGCCAGGCTCAGGAGACACAGGCTGGCTTCACAGTCAACCACGTGTCTATCTTCAGATCCTATGCACCACAGGGAGCCCAAAAGATCTTTTAGCAAGAAGATCTGGACAGAAGCATGTCCAAGAGAACTATTTACGTCCAGAGCTGCTATAGCTGGTTAACTCTTGATTCAGGTAAGCCTCAGGCAATGTCCTTTCCTGTAATTTTATAAGAATCATGGTGCATGGGGGGAGCGGCGGAGCGGGTCAGATAAAGACAAGCAGTGCACAGAGTTTCATGGAATATCCATATTACCTTGCTCATCATAATGGATAGTATTTTCATTCTATCAAAAAATAGTTATTGGCCCTTTATGGTATGTTAGGCACTGCCGTAGGTGCCTGGGACACAGCAGTAAACAAGACAGACACAGTCCTTAATATATTGAGGAGGCAGCCAATAAACCAGAAAATGAATAAGGTAACTGCAGACGGTGATAAGTGATCTGGAGAATTTATAACAGGCTAGAAAGGATAGGGTAGTCATGGACTTCAAGCACAGTCAATGAAAAAACCAGGAGAAGGCAAGGATATGTTCCAAAGTCCTTCTCACCACTCCTCACCCAACTCCTGGAGGTGGAAGCCACCTTTTAGCTACAGCTCTGTCGCCACTTCTGCTCAATGGAAATACTACTGTGTTGCTTTTTTACTCCTTTCTTAAGCCTGGCACCCTCATAACAAAGCGATGTCTCAACACCTATACGTGGTTAAGTATATTTGGACGTGCAAGATTTTCTCCTCTGCTGATTTTATTTACTGGAATAGTACACTTTTTGACATACCTGATCTGATCAGAAATGGACCCTAAAACAATACATGATACCTTTATTTTTTGTTCCTGATATATCTTGCATAATTTCCAAACACTTAGGTTCACAGGGCCCTTAGCTGCTCTATACTGAGTGGTCACTGTAGATAAAGCTGTTCTTCTTAGCATTCGTCAGCAGCACTTACCTCTCACTAACCTGGGTCTCGTGTTTTGTTATCATGGCACAGATGCAGCTGAAAAGCAGCCCACTCACTCACTAGAAAAAAATGCTTCTTTGTTAAGATTTGATATGAGAAGGGAAAACATGGATCCGCAGCACTTCTAGTCTGTTGAAACCATTTTAAGCAAGGTGGAAAATGGAAGCAGATGAGTTGTTCTGCTGGCTCCACTTTCCCACCACCCACATCAATTCAGAGTACTTGCCGCATATTTTTTACCCATAGACTCAGACTGACACCTAAGACAGATGGTTGTACTTTATTCTATTCTATGCACAGATGCAAAAGTCACTTAAAGTGGACCCAAATTTCTCCTAAGTTTGATACCCCCAAATCTGTGCGGCATAGAATTGAAATTACAAATTCAGGTCCCTTGAAATAATTCTCACCATTTCAACTTGAGTATACAAAATTGCACTGCATAAGCCCTAATTGCCTGATTCTAATTCTCAGTGTTTTGCCTATTCTAGGTAGAGTCTTCTGAAAATTACTGCCATAGATACAGGTCCTCTATTTCCATTCTGTCTCTGCAGCTATTGTTTTAATTAGTTTGCCTGCTTGTAAGCTGGCCCTTTGTTGTGGCGTGCTCTAGGGCAGAGGGCTCCTGTTCTGGAACGCAGGCATTAATGAGCCATTTCAGTAAGAAGAGCCCTGCACTGAGCCAGGGGCCAGAGCACCGGAGATGCCCCAAGGAGCAGAAATGCTCATGAGTTTCTGAAGCTGCCTTTCTAATTTGCATTTAAACATAACTCTTGAATAACAATCTCACCTGTGATTTTCTGAGCTGGGGAGTAAGGGAGTTTAGATGTTGAATATGTACAAATTATGTTAATACAATGCAGGTAAATGAAAGTCAAATGCACTGTCATGTAAAATGTATACCTCTTATCTAAATGTCTATTTTCTACCAAAGCTTGTTTTATTTTTTCCTTAGGTGAAATGAGATAGAAATTTTTCAAATTAAGTGAATCTTTATAATTCCTCTTTGATTAAAACTAATTGATTATTCCTCATTTTCCTGTAACCTAGACTTCAGAAGCCTTAGCAAGAGGAGGATTAGTCGGTGCCTGGTGACTTCATACAATGGATTGAAACCAATCTAATTTAACACCTGTGTGCTCATCAATAAGTGTTCTCAAGCACAAAAGTGAGCACAGTGTTGAGTGATTTTGACACTGACTGCATGACAACCACAGATTTTGTATCCAAACACTCGCAGACGAGAAGCTAATTGCAGGGATGAAAGGCACACCGCTAAAAGCATGAGTAATCACTGCCGGTATCCAAAATTAACCTGCTCTCCTCTACTACCAGGGCACTTCGGCATTTATCTAAAACCTGTCTCTACCCAGTCTGACAACCTTTTGTCTCTCTGACCAACGAAAGAGGGAAATGATTTTTCATTGCCACTCCTGCAACAGTGAAGGGTCTCTTCCAAGCGTGGAGATTTAGTTCAGCAGTTAAGTATAAAATAAATGCAAAAGCTGACATTTGTCATCACGCTGCAGAAATGGAAGGCTAATTAAGGAGATCTGTTTGGATGCCTTCTCCCCAATCCACCCTTTGGTACCAGTGGAGACACACACAACAAACTACCAGGGCCAATGATGGTGTGGGAAACGTATCACGATGTAGCCCTGCAGTAGTGTGGTGACAAGGAGGAAACAGAGCATCAATTAGTGATGATACCATCAATTCAAGGTAGTGATAATTAATAATGTACTTCCTGAAATACATAGCTTCAACCACTAACGGAAAATTTTCCACTTGATTTGGAACTTGAAATAACCAGAATGTGAGCCAACTAAGAAGCCTGATGAACTGGA